AAATCGACGCTTTTTTTTTAGCACTAGAGAAGAGCTCGAGGGACTTTGGGATCTGATTTGTTAACAAATGGAGAGCCTATGCTTGGATGGTTTTTAACCTCTGCATCTTTATGTTTTCTCACCACAATCTTCTTTATATCTATGTTGTTATAGGTTTTCCTCGTTGTTTTTGTTTGTTATATGTCTTCCATTTTTTTCTATTATAATTGAATTTTCACTATGAGCACATCGTATTTTTTTTACGATTTTATGATTCACCTGATTTGATCCTTTCTTGTCACGTGTTTTGTATATTGGGTTTAAAATTTCTTCAGAAGGTCCTGGGAGAAATGCTCAACATTTATGCTATAAACTCTTGGACTATAGAACTGAATTTACAATTTATAAGAAAACTTTCTTCTTAGAGACTTTTTTTTTTCTCTTGACAATCCAATTTTTTCCCTCTAAACCCATTTTCTATCTCTTTTGGGTTGGATGCCTTAATTGCGTTTTTCTTTTACTCCACATATGTCCCCTCTATTTGAGGCTGCCTCCAAACTCTAGATTTATCACCCTAAGGTCGTCGGCATAGGACATTGATAGATTGGTATCGATGGATGCCTTAATTTCATTTTTCTCTATTCTTCTTTTTTCTTGTTATTTTTACCTTTGGTAGAGGTGATATTGATAGATAAAATGAAAGTAGACGTTGATGGTAATGGTAATGGTTTGACCTGGACACATGGTTTGGAGTTACTCTTTTCTTTTTTACCTATCTGTCATCTTTTCCTATTAGATAAGGGCAAACTTTCTATGCTTCCCCTACAGCATAAAACTTATATACCTTCCCTTATCCAACCGTCCATCCTAAATGGACGATTGAGATGGCCCTAATCACAGTGTCACATTATATCTCTAAGAGAAAATATTCGTAGCACTATTATAATTGTAGATATGGCTATGATTGCAGAAAAATGGCACATGAGAAGTTTATTTCTGGCAGGCAAGGATGAGAGATCCTAAAGATTCTTACCAGAGGCATTTCAAATGCCATAAAGTCTCCAAGAAGTTTCTTTGAAACAAACACCATAAACATATTTGACAGGTAGATGGTACCCTTGGCTTTAACTTTACCTCTAGGAGCTTTAATAAGAAAGACACGAACTCGCCAAGTTAGAATACTACTATGGAATCAAAACCCGAACAAAATTGCACTTTAGCGCTTCAAGCCTACAAGTATAATGGGAAGCCTATAATAACTCTTTCATTTTCTATTATTGTTGTTGGCGCATTGATTGCCACTAGAAGTTCAATGAGTTTGAATTTTTGTTTTTTTTAGGACATTACCATTGATTGGTTATCCATGTAAAAAACAAATGCCACAAAAAAGCATTTGCATGCCAAAAGCCAAAATCGTATTTGAAGTATAGAAAATTGAATTTCTTGTCCACCATATTCAAGCTTTATAAATATTCATTATCGAATATGTGATAGTACAAACTAGTGGTAAACATCACAATAGGAAGAGGTCACAAGCAATCTTCATATACAACATGCTAACAAGTTTATAGTTGTTAGCTAACAATTTAACCACTTGTTCGAAAATTCCAATCAATTTCACAGAATAGTAGGAGAAGACCACTGTTCTGGTTTCTTTGTTTTACCTACTGCAACAAGTAAAAATTATACCAAGATTGCTTATCAAGTGAAAATGACAAAAACTTGATATAATATGAAGTAACTCAACTCCCCAAAATAAATGTTTCAGAAACCAGCATGATTCTGCCACATAAAATGAAGGGGAATGCATCGCCTTCATGTCACCTCTCGGCACTACCAAGCATTTCCACACTTACCTATATATCTCCAATATCTCCTCCATGCTTGCCAAGCATTTTGCACGTGCACCCCATGATTTTTCATGCATTTCTCAGGGTAAAACATTTAAAGTATTCATCAGAATTTTCCACAGAATTTTCAGCACACATCTAAATGCTTTCATTTTCATAAAAGATTCCCTGCTGCTCTTTCCTACAATCACTTAGTGCATATCAACCGGATCCTCCGTAGTAATCAGAAACTCTTTTTGTCGATGGCACTCACGCACAAGTGCCACCACAACTCAAAACTGTCACTACGGTGTCATTTATGCTGCCACTCCCCATACTCTCACCTCTCACTCATTGGCGTCTAAAACTCTCACCCAAGAGGCTCATAAACACGATCAATCAACGACAAAATGTAGACCTAGCTTTACAATTCTTTGACCATGCTGCGAAATATCACCCCAATTTCTTTCATAATCCTGATACTTATCATATGATCATAGAGAAATTAGCCATGGCTAGGGATTTGAATTCCATGGAAATTATACTCAAAGAGTTAAAGGATTCTAGAATTTCAGTGAAATAACATTCATAGATGTTATTCCAAACTATGGCTTTGCAAACAAGCCCAAGTTGGCCCTTCAATCCTTTTTCAGGATAAATGAGTTTGGGATAAACAAGCCAGTTCTTTTAATACTCTTTTGAATGCAATGATTCAGACCAAAATGCTTGATTTGGTTAATTATATGTATTGTATAGGAATTGCAGGAAATTTGGGATATTTCCAATTGTTTTTACCTATAATATTCTAATTAAGGCCTTGTGTTAAATGAATGATTTGAAATCACCTTTCTAGGTTTTGAAGGAGATGCCAAGCTAGGTTTTTTTTTTCCAAATACTGTAAGTCTGTAAGCTGTGACTTACTGTTATGAGTGGATTTTGTGGAGTAAAAAGGATTTTTGGATGAAATGCTTGAAAAGAAGTTTATACCATGCCCAACCCCGTGTTGCAAATTTTTTTATCTTATATGTCAAGAAGGCAAGGTTGATGAGGCTCGTATGCTATGGAAGAAGCTCTTAAAGAGGAACTACACCCCGATAATGCTATTTATAGTATGCTTATCTATTGGCTTTTGTAAAGGTGGTAAACTTAAAGAGGCGAGGAAGCTTTTGATGAGTTTGAGAATGGGTTTTATCCAAGTACATTGACATATAATAGAATGGGGAGTTGTAAGAGGCAGGGTGATTATGGGATGATATGCTCGGCAAAGCGTGTGTTACTAAGGTTTTTCACTTACAATAGGTTGATCAAAGGGTTTTCTAACACTAGAAGGGCAAGTGAAGGTTTTAGCATATTTGGAGAAAATCCTACACAAAGGGTGTGAAGCCAATAAGTCCACTAATGCCCAACATAGTGTGCTCCCATGATGGGGTTAGACTGTTTAGGATCATAGAGGTTGGTATGTGGTCTAGTATTGTGTTCCCGAATGTGTCTTTTATGAGGACATTCATTTTTAGTAACATGCTCGGTGACCAAGTCTATTTCTCTCAAATTGTACTTTTCTGGTCGGAGTTGAACTTGGGTCTTAGAGTTGATCTCATATTTTTCAGGCAAGGCACCCATCATATTTTCAGCGATGTAGTCCCTAATCAAATTGCCCTCCATGAAGCTTGATTTGCACTTTCATCATCCAAATGAAAATTTAATTGTTAACTAACTATAAATGCAACTGAAGTTCAATAAACATTTAGGGAAGGCCCGAATGTGTAGAGTGTTTAGTAGGCTTTGGAACAAGTAAGTGATTCTCAAGCTATATGTTAATAAGGGGCATATTTTAGTCCACCTAAGCCTCCCAATATCCATGATATCTTTACACATGAACTCTAACTTTGCTTTCTCTCTACAGGTTTCATATTTGTCACAATCTTGCTACTCCTTGTTGTTCACCATCATTACTGCCGAAATAAACAAAGAACCGGAGAAAAGACATAAATCGTTATCAAGAATGATGTAAACACCAACATTCAAAATAAATGATAGGCTACAAGACTTGGATGAGCGTCCAAGGTTCTGGGCTCATGTAGACATTAATAATGTGACACACATGTCTAACACTATAGAAACTAAGATACTTTAATCGCTTAAAATCCCACCTCCCGACCCGTCGAATATATATATGAATGTGTTGTATCTAGAAGGGGCTAAGTTGCGTTTCTGGCATGTATATTGGTGTATGACACTGACACTCGTACCCATATCCTTGTAACATAGATGATGGAGCTTTCTTATTTCTTAAAACAAATGGAAGAGCACCTTGATATTTTCAAGAAACAGAAATATTTGTTGAGGGAAAGTAATTTATTTGGAAGAAAGCATAGACCTATCTTGGGCATCTTACAAATGGTTTTGTGAAGATCTCATTGCTTAAAGTAAGAACTATAGCTGCTTCATGAAACAGAGAGAAGCAACACCCTTGCAGTGATGTTCTTCAGAATCTACAGTTAACATGTTAGTCAAGTGCCATTATTTGAATTATGCAAAACAAGATAGAAAATCTAGGGGTGTAGCAATGCTAGTATTAGTTATCCTGCTCTAACAGGAAATTGTGGCTGCTGTATTTCAAAAACCATGCAACAACTAGTTTTCAAATGAGGAACTATGCTCTTATAGGATATTTAGCTGTTTCAAACCTCCTAAAAAAGCAGGGCACCTAGTCATTTTTTGAAACTACAAGTGGCAACCAAGAGTTTTTCGATAATATAATGCAGCAAATTGGAAATTTAAACTCATTTTCACGAAGAAAGAGTAATAAATTACCATATTTTTACAAGTAAGTTCTGATCAGTTGCTTCTGAGAAATCAAATTGGCGGTCTGCATCTACTGCTCAGCTGGGGAACCATGTAGTTGTATGGAAACCTTCATTGGATATCCCCATATTGTATAGAAATCCTACACTTTGAAGAAGGTTCTTCCAAAAACTGGTCATGATTCTTATTTGATGGTCACTAATTTTCTTTGAAAGCAAGTGGGCACAGCTAGCCGCTGGACGAAGATTGACTCCCAAAACAGATATCCTTTTTCTTATATATTCCAGCCAATTGCCGAAAAGAATGGGGTTCCTAAATGAAATATCTTCACAAAATAATGCAAGAAATAAATGAATCTTTTTTTTAAAAAAAAATAATAAAAAGAAGAAGGAGAAACCAGCCATGAACTGAAGCAATTCATTCCTACAGGGAACTTAAAATTCTGGTTCATTTCACTTGAACTATGAACTATGCATATTTCACATTAACTGTGAACTGTGCACAATAAATTATGTATAATTTAATAGTGCTCTAAATGAACATTCAGATATTTCCGTATTACATGTCCATGCATATGCTTATGTGAGCAATGATCCTATGATTTCATAGAATGCTAATTCTCTATCTGTGTATCTTTCATAGGATATATACAGATACAAGAACCAGATTGTAAAGGATCAAAGGTATTTGTATACTAAAGAATAGGGGATTACTCATGTAAGATTTCCATTGGCAAAGATGATGACAACATGCTGCAAAGGCAGGCTGCAATTGTCTCCTGGTCCATTATGTTGCTTAGTGTGGCAGCACCTTAAGGTAAAGTCTGCAAGCACAATTTTAACATGAAATAAAGAATGCAGTGAATTACCGAAGCCAGTAATGGTGACAAAGTTATCTTCACATGCATTCCCTAGTTAATTATTGGGTGACAAATTGAATTTGCCAACCTGTGGCAGGACCACATAAAAGTTTCTCAATTGCAAGGGAAGAAACACCCCCTAAAGCCTACACATTATGCAAGTCCAAATCATCAACTGCAATAGTTAAGTTAGACATTAGATGCGCAAGGGGGATGTAAATTGACAGTATTCAATAAATACATCTATACATGCAATGTTAAATATTGTCTGCTTATCATGTTAAATGTGTTAGAAAACCAAATGAGCTCCCATTGAAGATAGTCTTCATTAGTTTAATAGTGATTATGTATGGAACTCAAGGCCCTTGCAAGGTCCCCTGAGCACTGGGCCCTCTAGCACTATTGCAACACAATTGTTTAATGAACTTTCACCATGCAAGAGCAATTTGAGGGTGGACCAATGCAACCCATGGGAAAAGCATTCTGCCATTACTGACCTGGTTATAGTATAAAAACTCGACAATCCTCTTAACTTGATGGTGAAGCATTTCAACAGATTGCTATGAAAGGAAGGGTCCATAGCTAATGGATTATGGATGATTGCAGTACTTCATGAACCCACCTCTTGAAAGGGAGCCATGCCTGAGCAGTTGGAGCTCACTGCAAAATAAATTATTTCACCTCAATCCATCATTCCACTGAGACAATCAGGTATGTTGTCTTTTGATGAGTTCTTTTGTGCTTTGAATGGATACAAGTTGTATCATGGCACACTGCCTAAACTTTTCAAGATGAATATTATGGTTTCTAGTGTTCCAAGATGAGTTGAATCTGTAGGCTGAGGGAAACCATTATATTCTGCCTAAACGTATTTACTTTGCCTTAAGCTTTCTATCATTTTCCCAGTGGCAGCTGACCAAGGTTGTCATGTCTCGGATGCAAACAAAATTCTCTTTCGGCATATTTGTTTGATCCGAGGTTTAGAATGGAACTGTCCAATGATGAAATCCGAGACCTGATAATCCTGCTTTAACCCCTAAATCCAAATTTTCTTCCTCACCATGGCAGGGACATGATGGTGTAGGAGCCAGCTAAATCAGGGTTCTTTTTGGCGGAACATCTTTCTATGAGCAGCTTTGGCCAAGTGATCTTCCCCTGCCATTGCCAGCGAGGTATGGCTCTCCCCAGCCCGGCCCAAAACCTAGCTTCTTGATTGGTTATTGATTAGCAAAAAGGCTCTCATGGTGGACCACATCCAGCGTGGGGGAATACACTTCACTGACATATACAAATGTATCATGTACAAAACAAAACTAGAAATCAATTGGGCCAGTAGGATTTCTATTTGCGCTTGGAGACTAAACTAGTGTTTGAATATTTTTGAGCCCACTAAATCTCTTGAGGTGTCTTCCCAACACGTATGGCATGAAGCCAATGCTATCATGGATAGCCTCACCAAAGAGGGGGCTTCCCAAATAAATCTTGTAACCTTGGTCTAGTGGGCAGTCCCTTTTTGTTTCTTTTTTGTAACTGTATAAGAGGTCTGGTTTTACACTTGTTATAAGTAATCCGAAAGAGTAAATAAAGAAAAAAAGAAGTATTTGCTTTCCTTGTGGAACTTGCATAATATCTATAGTTGACTTTATCATTTGCCTGTTGCTCATGAAAATGGGAATGGATTTTGAAATAGTATTAATTTCTGGAAGAAAACTTTAGGTTTTGTAAAGAAATATTGATTTTACTTCTGGGAATAACCACAGGAAAGCAAAAGCAAAGCAAAGCCTCGAACATAGTTTGGAAGTAAAAAGATGCATTTTATCTGTTAGCAAAATGGCTAGAACTCCTTGAATATTTTGAGACCCTCATTTCTAGTAGACAAGCATTAAAATAATTAGTTTGTGTATTTTCTTTATCGGTGGATGGAGGCT